GGCTCCAGCTCCCGGGGGCTGTGAGGATCCCAAACACTAAGCAAGCTCTAAGTTTACCAACGTCACTCACTCACCCATTCCTTTCATGCACTATCACGTTGCTTAAAGCCACCTCCTGCTCGCCAGAGTTCGCGTTCTCAGTAAACCTCACTGGCAACCACTTCTTGGGAATGCCGGGTTCCCAGCACGGTCTGAGAGCAAACAGCTGCCCTGGCTAGACATGAAGCACAACGTAATTTTTCTGTAAGAAAAGTCAGTATATTTATGGTTTGCTTTATAAAAGTTACTATAATACAATGGTACATAGTATTCAATTCACAAAAATATGAACAAATATATACAGCATGACACATCCACAACAAAAACACTTTCTTCAAAACAAGGTACATACTGGTGACAGATCCTATATGCACAAAACATCCCTAAATTTATAAATTTGCTTAACGAAAGAAAAAGCAGAAATCCTAGATCTTCAAAGCAGAGTTGGTTTGGTTTTTTTTTTAAGGAACATAAAAAAAAAAAAATTAAGGTGGTGTTATTTATTTATTTATTGCAAACCACTTCAGCCACCTCCTTTTAAAGGAGGCCCTTGACCTTCACGCTGCGAATTAAAACAACCTGTTGACAGAACGGGAAACCGCAAGGATGGGGAGCCGGGTGTTCTTCCTTTTCGCTTCTAAAACTGCCCGTTTGCTTTACAGTGTCCGTCACGACCTGTTTCTTTTCACTTGGACAAATACTACAGTGGCAATTAAGGAGGAAACTCATAAACCCCCCCCAAAACAAATATTAAATTGAAAAGATCCAGTTGCAAACGCGCTTAAATACAGTTTGGGGTGTCTATTAGACTGTACACATTTCCTCGCTTGAAATAAATAGATTTTGCACATTAGGTTTCAGACTGAAGGGGGGGGGGGAAAGAAGCAGCCTTGACTTGGCAAATTTTTGTCTTCAGTTTCTTAATGCTTCTAATCCCATCTATTTATTTGACAAAAACCCATATTTATACAGAATTTACATTATACAAAGCTTGACACAAGCTGTAAATGCCACCAGCTCCTTTGCTATACTCCGTCCTTCTTCCTTGCCGTCTCCTCGACATGATTTAGAGCTGGAATCTGTTTAAAAAGAACTCCAAATTACAATAGTCACTTTTAATAAATTATTTACATGCTCTTGAAGTACAAAGAAATCAGCAAAAAAATTTCAACATGTTTCTACAAGAAACAGTGTTCGAAGAGAAGATTCTTGACTTTGCCTATGTACAGAAGATGCGGGTTTTTTATACTTCAAAATCCTTTTTTTCCTTAAGTTTTCATTTTATACAGAAATGCACTGAAATGATCCCTGAAAAAGGTCACAAAAACCGGAACTGAAACTACTGTATACTTTGTTGGAGTTTAAAAATGGTTGGGTTTTTTTTCCTTGTAGAAATAAGCTGCTCTATACAATAGAAATATCTGCAAGATGAGCCCCTTCCCCTCCTGGACCCCCAACAGCCACAGACGGTTACTGGCACCAACCTGGAGCTGCAAAGGGGTGTGAACCGCAGGGCTGAAGGAAGGTGTTGGGCAGCGTCAGGCGGGACCTGCAAGCACGGAGCGCGCCCTACACACACCAACCGCGGAGGCACCCGCACCCTGAACTCAAGGCAGCTTCCCGACGGGAAACCTCAGGTTTGAGCTGTATTTCCGAGACTCTCGCACCGTTCTCTCGGGTCACTTCACCTGCAGGGAGCACAGTCAATGTCTTTTTCTTCGGTTTCAGTTTAAGGGAAGAGTAAATTGGGGATGGGCTTTCCAGCGAACAAAACTCCCGTGAATCTCCCCGGGAAGCCGCCCGCGCTGGTGAGGTTTGATTTTAGTCCCTGCCATCGTTCCCACGGGGTGCCGGGTGCCTGTGCTGGCCGCGGGAGGCGAACGCCGGGGCCGATACAGACTGGCGTCAGTCGCACGCCTTCTCCTCTCCTCTCAACCCTTTCCAGGTACGAGCCAAAGCACCCGGCGAGGGATGGGAAAGGCGGCTCCACGGGGCTGCCTTCC